GATGGTTCTCTGAAGATGTTGATATGACTGTACAGAACAATATAATGTAGGATGTTTATATGACTGCTAATTAATGTGCAATTTAATGTTTTCTGCCATTTTTTTACTTTGTTTTTATTTTCAAATTAAATGGTAGTTTTATTGACTTTTATGCATTTTACCTCTATAAAATATTTTGTTTTATTATATATGCTATCCAGACTCACTATGTGAGGTATATATAAATAAATTATTAAATGTGTATGTCTCCTGACTCCTAGCAATCCTGGGTCAGTCCATAGTTGTTAAAAAAAAAAGAACAATACAAAAGATAAACAATAGGATAGATATAACAAAGAAAGCAAAACTGAGTAGGAAAGAAGTAGCATCAGTCAGAAATAAGAAAATATTTCTTGAATGAAAAATTATCTAGTGAACAATCATAGTGTCAGATCTCAATTTAAGAGTTTTAACCAGCTTTAAATCGTTTTTATTTTGAGTCTTTACTGTCACAATGCAAAATACCTTATATGACCATTATTGAGTTAAATTTGGGAAGGCCTTCAAAACATAATTATATTAAAAGAACTGTTTAACAGTTATAAAATGCAGTTATAAAATGGTGACGGTGTGATATAGTAGTTGAAATGTTAGAATAAAATGTGGGAAACTCAGATTCAATCCATCTTTTGCTCAGATAGATAACTGGGTGACTTTGAACTAGACACTATCTTTCAACTCTATTACCAAGAGAGTTGATGTCACTGGGGAAAAAAATGAAGGAGGAATGCTTTATCCTCTATTCTTGAGCTCTGTAAGAAAATATAAGACACAAGAAGTAAATACTTCCATAGTTTTGAGTTTTCCTTCTCCCATTCTCCTGCTGGAAGTCTTCGACTTAGAAAAGTTCATTTAGTGACCATTTGAAGTTACCGCAGCACTATAACAAGTAAATTATGACCATTTTTCACACATATGAATGTTGCAGTATGGCCATGGTCATATGATCAAAATTCAGACACTTGTCAACTCACTCATATTTATGACAGTTCAGTGTCCTGGAATCGTGTGATCATCTTTTGTGATCTTCTGACAAGCAGAGTCAATGGAGAAACCAGATTCACTTAACAACTGTGTTACTAACTTAACAATTGTAATGATTCACTTAACAACTCTGTCAAGAAAGATCATAAAATGGGACAAAACTCATTTAACAACTATCTTGCTTAACAAAGAAATTTTAGGCTCAATTGTGGTCGTAAGTTGAGAACTACCTGTAGTTCTGGTCAGATTCTGAGCTTGATGAAATTGCCAACTAGAGAGATACCCTGCACAACCAAAGAAGATGCAAAGTAGCCAAACTCTTTCTGAAAAACTTCTCTTCTGTTAGCTCTATTTAGGACAAAGCCCATATATGATTGGGCTTTTTTTTAAATCAAGTTCACTGCTGAAGTAGAAAAAATGACAAATTGAGTTCCATTACAAAATTCCACAATAATTATTCATGATCATTAATGGCTCCTTGGGAAAAACTCATATGTTGCCATCCATGATGGCATGTTCCCTGATATCTCAGGTTTGATGAAACTCCTATTATATTGTTTCCTAACTGCTATATTTGTTTCTTGCCATCTACCTCTTAGCATCATTTGGAATTGGCTTAAAGTAACAGCTATATACTGTATAACAAAGGGATAGTGGGAAGTAATGAATTAAAAAAGAGAGATGGTATCATACACTAAGCTCACAAACATGAAGAACCAATACAAATATTTTTGGATATTTAGTTTTGATTTTTCCAGATTTAACAGGGAAGTATTACATATATGCATATAGTTATATTGTGTGTGTGTGTGTGTGTGTGTGTGTGGTATTCAGCTTTGTTCGGGTATATTCCCACGTCATTATAGTTGTGCTTTTAAAGTTGTAGCAACGTTTCGGCAACTTTAAAAGCACAACTATAATGACGAGGGAAAATACCCAAACAAAGCTGAATAACATACATGTAAGTTCCCGAGAAAACTTAAGAAAACATGTATATGTATATGTATATGTATATGTGTGTGTGTGTGTATGTGTGTGTGTGTGTGTGTGTGTATATATATATATATAATATATAATATATATATATTATATTGTATATCAATCAGAACTGGATTCAAAAAAGATTTAACAGTAATTGGACTCCAAACACGTTATAGTATTTAGGTAAAAGTAGTGGTAATATTGGTAGTAATAGTAATAGTAATAGTAATAGTAATAGTAATAGTAATAATAATAATAATAATAATAATAATAATAATAATAATAATAATAATAATAATAATAGGGCATATATATTGTCTTTGGTTATTTTTTTTTCCAGCATTAAATTTTGTAAGGCCTTTAGAAGACTCAGGAGCCAACCTATAATAAACAGCTCTCACCTTCAAAATCATAAAACAGGCTTTCAGTTCTTGAACATTCGATCTAATTGCCTTGCTACATCAAAGGAAATATCTGAGGACTGAGAAAAATCACAGAGGGGGGGAGGGGGTAAAGGGCACTTCTACCTCCAAAGGTTATGTGCTGGTGGCTTGGTGGAGCCCTGTAAAGTTATGGCCTAAAAACTGCTGTTTGCGATTAAGTTGATGGGCAAAATCTACCTAACCATTTTTCCCTGCTGCTGACACAGAGTCTTTGTTCACATTTAGATTTCTCAAACTGTTGCCAGGGTCAGATGGAGGTCAGACACCATGATGATGTATAGGAGAACATGTCTGGGAATTTCTCTCATACTTAAAACACATACCAGAAAAAAAGAGAGCACCCAGCTAAAATTGTCTGATGAGACCCAGATGATGACAGTGTCGCTGTTCTTTTAAAAAAATTATTATTCCTTATTTTTCCCTGGTCTAGACTCCACAAGCACGCCTGTGCTCACGTACACCATTTTATTCATGCTTATTCTGACAGCATTTATGCTCCTTCAAAATAAGGATGCTCCATCTTGTTTTGACATGTCGTTTTCTTTCCCAGCTGGGGATGGACTGGTAAATCAAGAGAAGGGGGAGGAAATCTGCCCATCTGTGAGCATATTCAGTGTGGAATTGCCATAGGTTGTGTTAGACCATGAGTTTTGACAAGACGGGCAATATTCACATTGTACACACATCTCTCTTTCTATATCTATTTGCATTAACATAGCGCAGTCTAGTCACAATCACAAGCATACAGCATAGCAGACTGTGCCCTCCCATCACCCTTAATAAACACAGCATTGTTTCCAGCTGTGACTAGGAACCTTACAGTGTTTGATTAGTTATACCACAGAGAGAGGGGGGGAAAGAAATAAGCATGCTAATATCAAAGGAATTGTTTATTCCATTCATTGCTGATTATTATTACATTTACATTTTTAAGGAAGACAGGGTTTCTTTTCCTGTTTCCCAATGTTTCTGGTTCTCGAAAATATTTCTCTCCAAAAAGCTGCTGATATGTAGCTTGCAGCATAGCATATTCAAGGAATTAATGCAAAATATCCCACTATATCTATTTCTTTCTTTCCATTTATATCGCCTATGGTAGCTTGATAGTGGCTTCAATTGTTTTCTTGTAGATTCAGCTCCACTGCAAGTAAAACACTAAGTAGCAATTTTTCTCTGCTCAGCTGCTCCACATGACAGAGGATATTTCATTCTGCTGTCAGAATGTTATTAATAAAACATGGGGGGTGGAAGGGGCCACAATTTCCCCTTTCAATCACTATAGCATTTACAATGAAAATTTTATGTAGTGTGTAATTTTCAGTTAATGCTTGACACTTAAAATGTTGGTAGCTGCATTTTGTATGGAATCTGAAGGGTTAATTGTATCATATTCCCCAAGCAAAAAAAAACTCTCCTTATCAAAAGTGAATAGAGGCGTGTATGCAAATGTGTGTCTGTGACCCTTTGCCTTTCCAGTGTTAATTTATATGGTCATTAAAGACTTTATGAAATTGAGCAGCCTGGTGTTTTGAATCCCATTTCATCACCTTCTCCCATCCTGCACTGAAATCTTTCTTTCTTTCTTTCTTTCTTTCTTTCTTTCTTTCTTTCTTTCTTTCTTTCTTTCTTTTTTCTTTCTTTCTTTCTTTCTTTCTTTCTTTCTTTCTTTCTTTCTTTCTTTCTTTCTTTCTTTCTCTCTCTCTCTCTCTCTCTCTCCCTCTCTCTCCCTCTCTCTCTCTCTCTCTCTCTCTCCCTCCCTCCCTCCCTTCCTTTCTTTCTTTCTCATATTGTGATGAAAACAGCATGCTATGCTGTAGGGAGTTGCAAGTCTGGTTATCTGGCATTACTCAGATTGCTAAAATTCATTAAAATGTGACATCAGCACAGTCACAGACAAATGATCACAAGATGAAAAGGAACAGTAGGCCTTTCACGGATTAGTGCTACATGGCCTTAGCCTAGAAGTTAACTGCATAAAAAGATTAATCCACTAGTAGCTAAGATTTACTGAATAATTAAATTGGGTTGAGTTACTGTGAAGATTTTCATGTAATCTAGCTGGTGTGAACATGTAAGTGAGGTGTAAGTAAGGTCACTTTTTTTAAAGGCAACATGCCAAGTTGTTTCATTTACCCCAACTGGTTCCTCCGGAAGAAAAATCTGAAATCTCATATTGTATTTACAGACTGGCATTAGCAAAATGTATAGATTCTAATTGGATTTATTTTTTGAGAGGTTTCTCAAATATGTTGCTGTATATAACTTATTATGTTGAATATATCACTTTAGTAATGCAAATTATTTGTAGTTGAGAAGATCTATTTGTTCTGTAGCTCTAGTTATCACTGTGTGTTTAAGAAAATATGGTTCCCGGGCTGCACCATAACAACCCAGATTATTAATAATTGATATCTGATGTCTTTTTAAGAGTCCTTCTTTCAATTTCTGACAATGTCTCATTAAATCCTGATCTTATTAAAGATCATATTTACACCTCGTGTTGAATGGTCCCTAAGCTAGCTTTTTTGTCATTTTTTTAATGCTCATTCACAGAAGAACAAATTGAAGATGCAGAAGGGTCTACTAAAAGCTCATCAGTGGCTGTTGCTGATGATAAAGAAACATGTGAGAAAGAGAGAAATAAAAGTGAAGGCAGAAAAGCTGGTAAAGACTCTGGTAAGATGCTTGATTTTTTTTCCTGCATTCTTTTAAAATGGGTATTAAATAGCTGTGTTTGTTTGTTTGCTTGTTTAATTTAAAACTGTCTGGACATTCCTGCTATTATCTATTGCATGTGTATTTTGCATGTGATATTTATCAGTTGCCTGACATTGACCTATTTTTAATCATAACCATCTGACAGGATAGATGTGGATAAGCTGAAGAATATTATAGAACAACTAGCAAGATTATTTTTTAATCAAATCAGTTTGTGTGCTTGTAATTTTTAAGCACCTTTCATTAATCTTAGCTATACTTGTATTCCTCTGATGGCATATTAATTTTTCATAAGATTCTACACTACTTGAGGAATTTTCCCTGCATTCATGTTTCATCTCTTCGCAGGGGCCTAAGACAATGGGAATGCTTATCCCCACCCCCACCCTCCATCAGCTTTCTGTTCTTGATATATGATCACTTAGATTCAGGAATCTTCCCTCTACGTGGCCATTTATCTGGTATTTAGGGGGGGGGGGGATACAGAAAATCTATGAAAAGGTTTACAGATGATTTGGCCAAGAAGGAGGAAATATCATTGAAAACAGATTATGAGCTGGGAAATATTGATCTTTAAGAATATACAAAGCTCTATAATGAAAGCTACTGTCTTTGAAAACAGAACTCCCATGTCATGACATTTACTTGTGCACAAACAAACCCAAGGCCAGCATCTGGCATGGATACACAAAGCTTTTTCTGTATTTGATTTGGCAAAATGTGACTCCATCCATGCTTTTTATTTATGAGATGGAAATCTTTGGTCACAATGAATATTACATTGGCTACTTTTGCTGCACGCTATTCCTAGTTATATTATGCTGGATTCACTGAAGCAGAAGAGGTGCTGAAGCAGGTTGAAAGCTATTAGTTTCAGGTGCTCATATATCTTTTCCGTGAATCCAAATGACAACAGCAGATAAAAGAGCTTGTATTCGCCATAAAGACATTCAGTTAATCAGGAATTATTATTTTACATGCAAATTTATTCTCATCTAAATGAACCATAGAGATACTGCTAAATTATTGTTTGCTTTGTAAGCAATAGAAGTATGAAAACACCGTTTTTTAAAATGAAAAATTCAATAATATTTAAGTAGTAAAGATTTGACTCATAGATATATGTCAACTGTGTATCACTACTCAGAAATATCCATAGAACTAGGATGATTTAGTTTTTGAAATCAAGAACCTGAAAAAGAACTGTTCATAACAGAGCATGTCTATAGGGATTATTTAAAATATACATCCCCTTTCATTGGAAGGTAAATCTAAAAGCAGTATTGAAAGACATGCTGCTTCGGCTTGCTACTGGGATCTGTGTAGAAGTGTAATGGAAAAAGAGAACATTTATTTGTGAAACATCTTCATTCTTCATGTTGTGCTTTGTTAAGTAAGCTTTATATTTCTGAGATGTTTTCTGTCTAAAATATTTGCTATAAATCATCTAAGTTATTTGGTTAAGGACATTTTTAATAGGCCAATAGGCAGAAGTGGTGAACTTCAGAAACATAGATAGCAAGTTCCATGAACAATAAATTCAAGTTTAATTAGCCTCACCTATGCTCCAGTTGTCCTGTGGTGCAGTGAAACACCTTGAGATGCTAAAGGCAGATGCTTTTGTAAGAAGCTTGAAAAAAAATTAGTTCACATTTCGAATTCTCAAACTGACCTTTTGAATCCTACAATAGAATTCTCTAAATTAATTCTGCATATAAAGTATTCATTCAATGAGGTTAATTCTCAACACAGCTGACAACTATGTTTAATGACTGCATAACTGCTTATGTATAATTGAATGCTAATTTGGATTTTCTTCTCCTGAATTAAGTATTGGCAAAGAAGTCCCAGAAAACCAACAAGTTAATCATAGCCTTAACAAGCTAGACAAAAAATTGCTCTCACCCCTTTTTAGCATATAATGCATTAGAAAAGAAGGGATTAACACGTTTGCTGCTCAAGCATTTATATAAATTGTTGTTCTGTATTGCCTTCCTTATCTCAGATGGAGGCTTTCAAAGACTTGGCAATAAGAAAACTATGTTTACTGAATATTGATTTAGAAGACAAGAGCCTTCTAATGCCTCATTTATATTGTCATTTAATTCTAGTGCCACTTTAGATTAATTATAATCCAAATTACAACTCAACACAGTGTAGTAATTAATATGGAATTAATCCAGATTAATACATTTGCATAGAAAATGTAATAAATTTCTGACATGGCTAAAGGGAACACTATTTAACAAGGTGGTAAATGTAAGGAATAATGGAAATTCACCATTTATTGTGCAATAAAATTATTCTTTAGTTAAATTCTAATTAGGAGGAATCCTATACTGACTTCTATAATTTTTATGTACTATAGTGTATCTTAATTACAGTATTGATATCAGAAGCCCTAGTCCTTGTCAGATTCTTTAGTTTATAAATATAACTATTTATAGGATGTTTGTTGTGCTTTATTTCACAAGTTTGTATATTTGATTGATTCCTCCTCTTGTAAACTTAGCTAACATAGCTTATTTATGTTAACACATCATAATCTTTGTTATTTTAGGATTCAAGAGTTATAAAATTGATGATTATATGAATCACACAGTTCTGGTTTATGGAAGAATAGTTTACTATTCCATTCTTATGAGACAGACCTCCACATTTTTATTTAGAAATCCAGAAAGAATCACTTAAAGTATGACTAAGCATGCCATGCATACTCAGTCAATGGATTATATCCAACAGGGTCTGCTTGCTAATGAGACAAATTTCTTCTTCCAAAGGAGCATATAAGTGCAAAAGGGAAAAGAAAAAGTAAATAATAATAATAATGACTTTTGACTTTTGGTAGATATGACTTTTGGTAGACATATGAATAAAGAAAATGCATCAAATTTTTACTCTAGGGTTAATATTTGTCTACATTACTTCTACAATCACGTATAATTCTAATAATCAAATTACAAAATTAACAGTTAATTTCTTTCAATTTCTCCCCAAAAATCCAAGTTGGTTTCCATAATTAGTCTTTTCTTTAATCAAAGCTGTCAATTTTGCCTTCTGTGCCAATTCTATTAGCTTCTTCATCATTGTTCCATTGTAGATATTTACCAGTCCTTTCACCATTGTGTATATAAAAGTCTCACTGCTGTTATCATATACCAAAGCAAATTTCTGTAATATGTTCCCATTTGTTTGTTCATTTAAGAAAAGAATAAGCTCTGATTTCAACTGTGTATTCACTTTTCAAATCTTCTGAGTTAGAAAACATACTTGATGTCAGTATTTTCTAGCTTTCTTTGCCTGCCCACCAAAGATGAAAATATATGCCCTCTGTTTGATTGTATTTTCAACAAATGTTTGTAATTTGCTTGTACATTTTTGCCAGTATATTTTGTGTCATATACTGGTCATTTTATTAAACTGCTTTTTAAAATTAAAATTTATTGTAATTTTCAACTATTTCTTCACCTTATTCTCCCATTGGCTTAACTATATATTATAACACTACTTTTGCCCATTGTCTCATACAATATTTAATTTGTTTATCCTCTATTTCTATTTTCAATAAAAGTTTACACAACTTAGTAAAATATTTTTATTCATTAAATTATTTTAATATATGATCACCCATCGTACACAACTCCTCGTAACAACAGCAATAGCACTTAGACTTATATATCACTTTACAGTGCTTCACAGCACTCTGATTGGTTTACAAATATCAGCCTATTGCTTCCATCAAATTCGGTTTTGCCACCTTCAAATTCATAATTTTTAAATCAGACTTAAATCTTTCCATTAACTAAGCATAAGGAAATCAATAATATGAAGAACCTTCCAACTCCAGATTTTCTCTTGTTTTTAACTTAAATTCTCCTGGAGAAAAAATTCAAAGCAGTATCCATTAACTATTTTATTTAAATTTCATTTCCATTCTTTAAAAAAAAACTTATTAGAGTGACAACCATAAAGGGATTTTAAAAGAATTCTTTATTTATTAAAGAACATTAAAATTCTAAATTGTCAATATGGAATGTCTAATAAATGATTTTTAAAATGTACATTAACCTTGACTTTATCATACTACAAATAACCATGCCAATAAAATCTTAAATCATGTCCTTCCAATTCCAATATCACCTCTTTTTTAAAGCCATCCATTCTTTCATTCATATTAAACAACAAGCTGCAAAATATAATTTTAAATCAGGTAATTCTAGCCCCCTTTTTCTTTAGCATGCAACAGTGATAACAGTCAAAATTATTCATAAATAATGGTTATTCATAAGACATTTGAAAGTGAGATAATTCAGATTTTATTTATTTGTTTGCATCCCACATTTTTGTTACTTTTAGAAATAACTCAAAGCAGCAAACATACTTGTGTCATACCCAACAACTGCCTTATAAATGGTTTGCTATGAGAAATTTTTACTGTCTCTACTTCCTATGTTTCACTTTCCTCGAACTTTAATTGCTTCTACTTGGCTTCTCCTGCCAGAGGGAGTGACCACTGTTCTGTCATATGGAAATATCACTCTGCATTTTCAGAGATTTCTGACCTTCTAAAGTGGTTGGAAACATACTAGAAATAATCTTCTTTGAAGGCTCAGGAATCCTAATGGAATCTGACTGTCTCAAAGGAAATTTCCAGCTGCCATGTCCAGCAGTTCTGGCTCAGGCTATAAATACAATTTAACCCAAGCACCCTTTTTTCTGTAAGCATTGCCTGACCGTCTTCTTGTTTTTTGAAGAACTGGTTGCAATGAAACACACACAACAATGGATGAAATGTACATGGCATAAAATCTGAAGAGAAGCTGATCAAAATATTGACTTTTTTTAGGGGTTTAATCTATGGAGAGTAGCACTAGAAAAGCAAGTTTATGTCTATATTCTGAAGGTGGAATTCTTTTGAATAACATGATATATAATTGTGTGTATGTATGTGTCTGTATACATACATACATGCACGCATGCATACATACATACATATATATTATACATTCTGAAGATAAAATTGCTTGCATTCATTCCAGTTTTGATATCATTTTTATAGCAGTATCAGAAATGCTTAGTCATTTGTTTGGATCCAGAGGTAGTATTCTGACCAGTTCTGGAGAACCGGTAGCGGAAATTTTGAGTAGTTCGGAGAACCGGCAAATATCACCTCTGACTGGAGATTTTACAGTATCCTTCTCCTGCCACACCCACCAAGCCACTCCCATAGAACCGGTAGTAAAAAAAAATTGAATCCCACTGCTGTATGGATCCCACACCCTGTTTACCAGGAAGAAGTGGACATGTTTGAAGAACTGAGTCACCCATTGGCACATCAAAACAGGGTTCTAAATCTTGATTTTGGGGATAATTATTGCCTTTCGGAAGAAAGGTGTAGTGCTTGCACTCTGAAGTAGATGTAGGGTACCCCTCCTTAAAAAAATAAATATAGATAAGTCAATCTAAAAACTATCACTTAGTGTCAGAAATGGTTTACATTTTTTAGTATGTGCGGTAAGTTCTCAGCACCTGGAAATCTTGAATAAATCTTATTTAGATAATGTCAAATTACTTTTGAGGCTTCATGATGGAAAAGTTTCTGATATAGTTTTATGTATGTATGCATGCATTTATTTATTTATCAAATGTATATAATGCCCATCTCACCAATAAAGCATCTCTGGCAGAGTCTTAATAGCATTGCATTCTTGGAAAGAAACTCACTCCCCGCCTCCCCCCAATTAATATAAAATCTTCTATTATACAAAACGTATTTTGTGGTATTCAGTCCTGAAAACATAATGGATAGAAACAAAGTCCAGATGATAAAGAATAATTTCGGGGGGAGGGAAGCTGGATAGGAATTAATAAATGCTTTAGCTTGAGCTGCTGCCTTGTATTGTACAAGAAAATGTAAAGAATTAGTTTCTGTATTAATTTAGACTTTATTAGACAATTGTATGTTTAAAGATTAGGAAGTAAGTGATTGTTTTGAATGTACAGAAAAGCAACATCCTTCTGGTGACATTAGAAGTAGGTTGGTTGGACTTGTCGATGAACTTGAATTTTTTTATATAGATGTTATACTATTGTTTAGAATCTAAATGGTTTGCAGAAAATACAGTATTTGACTGGTTTTATGCAATAAGAGGATGAATCTGAAAATTAATGTCATTGAAATATAATACAGCTGGGTTTGACAAGGAAGATAACGTGAACAATTTATACTTGTGACATATGTGATGAAGACCTAAAGAAAACCTAAAGAAAGATGTGACTACTTTAATGAGTTGAAATTAAGATGTGGCTTTCAATGTGGCTTTCAATAAAGCATAGGTTGGCCTTTCCCAGAAACCTGAAAAATATCACCACTGCCGTAAAGTGAAATATTACATTATGGTCTAAATCAGGGGTGTCTAACTCAAGATCCGGCCCATGGGATGCTTAGATCTGGCCCATGGGGCCTTCCTGGAAACAACAAAGATGGTGCCTCTGCCAGCAAAAATTGAGCTCGGGGTGGGGGGGCACTAGCAGAAGGTTGCAGGAGGATGTTGCAGCTGGAAATGGAACTCAGGAGCGTTTTCACTGGCAGAGCACTTGGACCATCACATATGCCTCCTGGACACGAATGACCATGCTAGCCATGCCCATCCTTGTCCGCCGAGGTCAAACACAACTCTGATGTGGCCCTGAATAAAATCGAGTTTGACACCTCTGGTCTAAATCATTTTTTAAGCATGTCTGAGCCTAACATTTATATCCCACATGATAATCACAATTCTTAGACAGAACAAGTTTGTTTGTATCCCACTTTATTATTTTTACAAATAACGCAGAAAACATACTGTATCTAGCACACCTTCCTTTTCCTATTTCCTCTACAACAACAACCCTATGAGCTTAGTTGGGCTGAGAGAGAGAGTAAGTGGGCCAAGATCACCTAGCTGGTTTTCATGGATAAGGTGGGTATATTCCAAATACAAAAGGGTAAATGAGTAAGGAACTTGGAATTCCTGATCCAAACTTTCAATATAGTCCTCTGGGATTCATGAATCCCATTATCAGAGAAGAGACACAGGAATGGGATGTAAGACGGTGCACAAAGCACCCTCAAATGTTATTCATACCATTTTGCTGCTGCCTACACAGCTTAGGGCATTTTAATGCATTTTAATAAGGAAAATACTTTGCTGTGCTAATCTAATTTAAGGGTAAAATGATTGGTAAAAGAGATAGATTTATTTTTGTTTTAAAACATTATTATTAATATTTAAAATGCTTTAACCTCTTAGCCCCGTTAAGATTCTGAAAACCTTAAACCTTTATAAAAGAAATCCAAACAAGGCTTTATCCATTTGCAATTTATTTGAATAATCTTGATCTTTAATCAATCTATAATTCTAGTTTTATTTTTAAAGTTTCACTAAGTCTATTCTGCCTCCTAAGTTTAATAGAGGGACTAATACACTGAAATATATAGTATTGTCAATTTTAATGTATTTCTAACAAAATGTATTTATATATTTTGAAGATAACCACATGCAATATATTTTGCTGCTTCTGAATTTACTTATTCTTACAGGATTTTCTGTTATTTTTCAAATAAAAAGTGTTCTTTTAAGAGTAATGTTTCTTTCCTCTCTCCACCAATATGCTTTTTGTTCATTATAAGTATTCTGCAAGCTTTTCATCAGTGACAGTCATGACCCTATTTTAAAATTAAAACTAAGACATTAGACAGTGAGGTCAGTTTGTTCGTGTATGTGAACTCTGTGTGGATCTTAAAAATCAAGATCCTTCATGCATCTCCCCTAGACAATATATTTATGTTGGGTCTGATAGCAATCAATGGTTTAGCGTCATTGCATTTCAAGATGTATTTGCACCCAGTTGTCCAGTGATAGTGTCCTCACCCTGGAAATAATTTAGTTGCAAATTGACTGGAAGATGGTGAAAATTGAAAGTTAAAATTAGAAATACTCATAATAAACAGCAGAAAAAAGGTCAGATTGATGCCACACTATGATGAGATTGGAATGGTTGGTAAATGAGGTTTTCTGTTTGTTGTGAGATGTATGTGACCAGACTACCCAATGCTGTTGAAATATCCAGCCTAGCAAAAAAAAAACTACCCTGCAAATTGAAGCTGCAAAGAATTTTCTTTTGATCTAGGAAATTATAATTGCATTCTTTTCTTTGATGTGTACTAACCTGGCTATATTAAGAGGCTAGCTCAGGCTGAATATTAATGATATTATTAGTACATACATTGTAGTATTTAAGTACAAAACATATTTTAAGTCAGTGCATGGGCATTATTTGTCTCTGTGTGGTTAAGCGGGTGCTTTTTCTTTTAAATGAATTATAATATAGTTATGCCAACATTATATCTATTGAAATCAGTGGGATTTAATTAGTCATGAATAACTTAAGCCCCATTGATTTCAGTAGTCTCCTAGAGGTATGATGAAAACTGTATTCGACTCAGTATTTATTATATGTTGTGCAATAATTGGAAATAATAGGCATCTTATCTGAGCAGCATGATAAATATATTCTTAATTAGAGGCAGGGAAAAAAGAGGAATGTTTGGAAATTAATTATTTTGGAGCAAGAACTGAGGCTATGATTTGATTTTGCGTAATGTGGTATAAAATTTATGAGTGAAATACTAGAGAGATCTAGTTATTGATTACTGTTTAGGGCAGCATAAGGTTAGCTAAACAAGAGAGAAGAGTACATTTTTAATGTATTTATAGAGTTTGCTCTGCTTCAGAGATAAGTGGGCTGTCACCTTTGTACCTGTTCACTTTCAAAAAGAATTCTGCTGTAAGATGAAAACCTACAATATTTAAAAGACTCTTATAGGTCATAGCATAAGCTCTAATGACAATTGTAGCTATTTATAATATATTCTTGCATGTTGTTTTGGAAGCAGGAATAAACACACCAGAGAAGGAACCAAAAGTAAATATTGCAGCAGGGGAACAACCACTACTTTCAGCTAAAGAAGATGGTCCACCCAAAAAGACCAAATTTTCTGAAGAAAATAAGTTTGGTCATGACCAGGTAACAAGTATTATTACAATGTTTCTATCTTAGGGCTTTACTTGTGAACAATTTTAGTAAAATACTTTAATTCATCATGGGCTTTATTTATGCAGCTAGAAATTAGCCATAAAATGTTTTTCAGCTAATCATATGAAACTAATATTCCCAAACCAGATTATTACATCACAGTACTACAGTATATGGCTGTTGCGTTTGTTTGTCTGCCTGGGAATCAAAATGAAAAAGGAACTAGAATGCAGATGCTTACAAAGAAAAAAGTTCTTGGGGAAAATAATTCTGGAAACCCAAATTTTGAATGAAAGTGCACTTCTTTCCCAGTCACTAACATTGTCAATTAGTGCTTATGAGCTGACCTTTATTTTAAGATGATCTCTATACAGAATTTGAAATCTAGCAGGATATTAAATTGTCTATATACAAAATGCTGGATTAGTAGTGGGAAGAAGCAGTTCTAGCCCATACCTAGGCATGGAAGCTGGCTGGAGGGTTTTGGGCCAATTATTGTCTGTCAGCCCTGGATTGGAAAGATTAAAAAAAATCTACCTATCTTGCATATTGGGCTATAATTTATACTTACTTACTTATCAAATGTATACACTGCCCATCTCTCTTAAGTGACTCTGGGTAATTTACAAATAAAAGCCATACAGCCATATAAAAGACACATATATTAAAACAAAGTGTTTAAAAACTGGACTAAAAATAAGTTAAAAAATTTAAAAGGCAGAGGGAGTGCCCTTAAGCCACCACCATCACATCAGTTTTCAGGTCACTCTTAGATCTCCATGCCATGTCCATGTCAGGTCTTGACATTCTTTCAGAAGGCCAGCAGAATAAGTGCCATCTTATCTCTGGGGGCCAGATTTCCACAGGGCAGGGGCAATAGCATCGAACACTCTGTTCCAGACTCCACCCATCAAAATTTTGATGGATGGGATCCACAGCACACTCTCTTTGCTTGACTGGGTGAAACAGATTGATGTAATTGGGACAAGACATTTCTTCAGATAACTTGGTCAATGCCTTGTAAGGTTTTAAAGGTGATAACCAGCACCTTGAATTGGATCTGGAAGCAAATTGGTAGCCAATGCAGCTCATGTTGCTAAGATGTTACATGCAAAGCCTAGGACACACACAAAACTGTCTGTATTCTGCACTATAGCTGCAGCTTCCAGATACTCTTCAAGGCTAGCCCTATATAGAGTGAATAATTTATATGGAGATCACCAGAGCATGGGTGACTGAAAGTGTTATTGGATCAGAAAGGGTTTAACTGATGCACAACATAAAATCCGATAAAGGCCTGAAACATGGCTGCCACCTGCTTCTCAAGAAGGAGTCATGAGTCCAGAAGAACCCCCAAATTACGTACTGGATTTGTCTGGGACAGTACAACCACATCCAGACCAAAGGTGGTAAAGTCCCGGATATAGAGCAGCCACTCTACCACTGCCACTTGTTCTTAACAAAGTTTATTTGCAGCCTGTTGTTTCCCAGACCTTGATAGCCTGTAACCACCATAAAAGAACATTCACAGCATCACTTAGTTCACCTGAGACAGAAATATACAACTGGATGTCATCTGCATATTGATGATATTGTCCCCAGAGGGTCAGCCCATGGTGACAGATAATCTTACCCAGTAGAGGTAAGATTAGAAGCTAAAAAGGAGTGTAGATAGTACTGACTCCTGTAGCATCCACAAAGAAGGACTGCAGGCTAGACTTCTTGTCCCTTATCAACATTCGCTGGGACTAATCTCAGACAAAGAAACACAAATCTCTGCCACCACCTCCAGCTCCTAATGCCAACCCAAAGGAATATCAAGATTGATAGTATCAAAGGCCACTGAGAGGCCCCCATCCCACTCCTGCCAGGGGTTGCCCAAAAGGATGAGCAATGCCTTTTCTATCCCATTTCTAAACCTGAAACTTGACTGGAAGGGATCCAGATAATTTGTCTCATCCTGGATTTTCTGGAGCTGCAGTGTTACTACTTTCTCATCCACCTTGCAGTAAAAGGGGACGTGGAAGACTGAATAAAAATTATCAAGAACTATGGAATCCAGTAATGCTATGTTGAGAAAAGGGAGTACCAGTTCCTCTTTAAATTGTCCAGGAACACCCCATGACTCAAGGATAAATTAACCATTGCTAGGACTCACCACAGGTCACGTCCTGGGTAGCCTTAACTAACCAGCGGGGCATGGATCTATTCACAGATGGCTGTACTTATAGTCCACTTCATTGGGCTGTTTAGTAAAACCTCAGATAGAACCCTCAGTTCCTTTCGAACTTCATCAGATTCATCAATTGCTGCAGTAGATAGATAGATATGTCCTTTCTCCTTGTATAATAGGGTAATATAAAAGAATCTCAAAGTAACCAGAGCCATGATCTGACCATGACAGAGGGGCTGAAATCAGTTCTCCTCTCAGATCACATTGCCATAGTTCTGGCAAGAAAACTAAGGCCAGAGTGCGACCACTGTTTCATGTCAGGCCATGAGTGACTGGAATGATGGCCATGAACTCCTGGGCTGTTTTCAAGGTCTGTCCCAGGGACAGCTTATTGGAGCCCCTAAAACCATAAATCTGGGAAAGTCCATGGCCAATCCTGAAGTGATCTCCAGCAGTGTAGGCAAGTGAGTTGCTGTGCAGCAGAGAGGCTGATACAATAGGAACTGTCCCAATTGATCCCATGAATGTATCTTCAATATCAGGGTCTCACAACTGGCAATTTATAGGGCAGCATTTCTGAAGACCAGCATGATAGATTATGATATAATGATTCCATAACTTTCACTGAAGGAGATTTTATCCTGTAGTGGATTGTTTCAGATCAATAATAACTGTGAGGACATGGGTTCATACTGAAGGTATGAAGTCCAAGAATTTTACTTGTATATAATTCCAAACATGTACTCTCTAATGAATAGGCCACCATGTTTAAAATTAAACTGTTTTTAAGGCAATAAAAATGTGAAAATGATGATAAATTCCAGAAAATATTGTTACCCTGAGAGATTGACTAGAAGAAGCAGAGGAAGCATTATTCAATTTTTTTTTTCTTGAAGGAAAATGTAGTATTTACTATAGTAACAATTTATTTGTCTAACAGTCTGAATTTGTGATTGTTTTTTTTTTTTTCAGTTTTACCAGTGCCCTTATTGTAACTACAATAGTAGGGACCCAAATCGTATACAGATGCATGTTTTGTCACAACATTCTATGCAGCCTGTGATCTGCTGTCCCCTTTGTCAGGATGTCCTGAGCAACAAAATGCATCTGCAATTGCATCTGACTCATTTGCACAGTGTGTCACCTGATTGTGTGGAAAAACTGCTTATGACAGTAAGTATTTAAAATGTTAATATGTGTTTTTACATACTGTATATGTTAATTGTAAACAGTGATGAATAGATGCTGCAAATGGAATTAGGAAGTTGGAATAGGGGCTCCTGAGATCTCTACTTCTGTCAATAACTTAGTTCATCTTTTTGGCCTATTCACTTAACCTTAATTTTCAAAGACACAGGAGTCTTAAGCTCTCATTAAAGTCAACCTTTCAAGATCAAGGTGCTCACCTCTGTGCCTCCCTGCACTTCCTAAAGCAGATTGGCTATTAACTTTTCCCTGTAGGGAAACTTTTCTTCTTCATTTGCTGTAATGCATTGTGACAGTTAAAAGCATTAGAAGTTACTATTTCTTTGTATATTTATTTATTTAATTTATATATCCACCCATATCATGTGTATGATTCTGGGAGGCTAACAGTTAAATTTAATGTCAGTTTTATATGCATTTGTAAATAATGATGAAGAGCAGCACAAAAATCTCTGTTCTTTTTATATTGGGCAGAATCATAATTTTATGGTTTATTTAGCTACCTTGAATATCTAATAAAAAACCAAGTGTTCCACATTTAATATATATGTATGTTAGTGGAATATATATATATGTGTGTGTGTGTGTGTGTGTGTGTGTGTGTGTGTGTGTGTGTGTGT